CAAGAAGGAAGGAAGGAGGATGGGAGTCGGGAATGGCTAGCTGACTGAATAGAAAGGAAGCAGCAGCCCAAATAGGAATGAGGGAGAATAGCGGAATTGAAATGGACAATGCAATAGTTGCAAGGTCCGGAGTAAGTCCGGAAAGTCCGAACTCGGAGGTTAAACTCCGGAATATTGGCAAAGGTAATTAAATGGAATGAGCTAACCAATACAATGGGTATAAGCGGAGGTGGGGTCAAAGTCCGAGGTTGGAGCTAAGACCGGAGGTTCCGGAGATGAGACGTGAACGGGATTCCGGAGCGGAGGTCCGGAGTCGGGAGCATAGGTTTTGCGTACTCGTCTGGAAGGTTGGGGTCGGACCCGGAATGTTCCGGAGTCGGACCAAAGGTGGTGTCCGAGCCGGAGGTGGGATAACCTCTTGGGAGTCGGCAAGGAGAAGGTGATGGAAGGGAAGTAGGGCTCCGGAAGTCGGAGTTCAGAGTTCCAGGAGCCCGGAGCGGAGGTCGGGATTGTATGGATATGACACAAAGGCGGAGTTATGTATCCAAAGGATGTTGGGTGACTCCAATAAATGAAATGGGAGGGGGAATGGTTTAGAGGTATGTCACGGGATGTTGGAGAACCATCAGGAGGGCAGAGCAAATCTGGAGTCTCTGAATGTTCTGACTTGGGGCCGAGCTTCCAGGATGGGAGTGGCCAAGGTAAAGTGTGCTGCAAACCAGGCCGGAGCTGAGACAGTTGGGAAGGAAGGTGACTTGGGAAGTGGGGAGTTATGGTGTAGGGGATGATGAGGTTGTTAGGAAGGTGTGATGAGGTGGGAGAGTGCGGGGTCGGGATTCCGGGATATGACAAATAAGGTGATTCTCTCATGAGTTCGCCAACCCAGCAAGTGGATAAGTCCATCTTGGGTTTTCCCTTTGTTCCTTGTCTTGTATTATGTGTATAAGTCATGTACTGTAGTTGATGGCACCTCAGTGCAAAATCAATGACAACGACTATTCCCCCAGAGTTCGTGCCCCCTCATTCTGAAGTTAAGGACCCAACACTAAGCGTTACCGAACATAGGCACAGCACTCCCCTCTGAGTCGCTGAGGCCACAGTCCTTCTGCTCATCCTCTATCTCTGGCCTCCCTTCTGGGGAAAGGTCCAGACATGCTTGCTCCCTCCTCGCCATGTTCTGACAATGTGAGTTGGTGCTACAGGTGTGGTGGTCATGAGCTGAATCAATGGAATGATTTGAGAGACTCATTGCTGGAGTAGGCAATGCAATGACAGCAATGTGCCTCAATGCCAGGTGGCTCAGCTGTAAATACAAAATGTCAGAATAATGAGTCTCACCACCACAAGTGGATATCTTACCATTTTTCTGGTCACATGGCAACATGGTTGCTGGGGTGAGCAACACGATGGCAGCAGTGTGCCTCAGCACTGGGAGCCTCAACTGTAAATATCAAGTGCACATTGATGTCAGAATAATAAACATCACAATCCTAAGCAAGTATCTTACCATTTTTCTGAACCAATAGCAGCGCCATTGCTGGGTCATGCAGCCTGATGACCACAGCATGCCCCAGCTGTAAAGTACTGTCATATCCCGGAATCCCAACCCCGCGCACTCCCACCACATCACACCTTCCTAACAACTTCACCATCCCCTACACCATGCCTCCCCACTCTCCAAGTCACCTTCCCCCCTGACTGTCTCAGCTCCGGTCTGGTTGCAGCACACTGAACCTTGGCCACTCCCATCCCGGAACCTTGGTCCCGAGTCGGAACATTCGGAGACCCCGGATTCGCTCCGATATCCTGACGGACCTCCGACATCCCGTGACATGCCCTTAAACCATTCCTCCACCCACTTCATTTATTGGAGTCACCCAACATCCTTCGGATACGCAACTCCGCTTTCGGAGCTACCCGCATCCTTTGGTGATCTCCCTCACGTTATCACTTATTAGTCATCTTCCATTCTTAGCACGACTACCTTCTTACTACCATTCAGTCGGCTAACCCCCTTTACCCATTTGTCTTCCCCATTCATTTTCCGGCCTCCAACTCCGCCCTCCTTGGCCCGACACCTTGGTTCCCCGTTTTAGATATCGTCCGGAACCTTTCGGTACCTCTCGGTATCATTCGGTACCTTTCGGTGTTTTCCCCATTTTGTCATTTCGGGCTTTGACTAAAGTCCTACCCATCCTCCTTTATAAATACATGTAGATTAGAACCTGTAGTTCCTTAGTTCTAATCTCGACTAAAAATGCCACCCAAAGTCCCTCTGAGTGAATCCTGTCCCTGTTCTACAAGACACCTCAGACATAAGAAATACAAGGACTAACTGAGACGTAACGGAGGCACAGCACTCCCTCCGAGTCACTGAGGCCGCGTCCTTCTTAGAGCCTCTTGTACCATCCAGCAGAACCGGGCTCCCTGAGAAGCTTCAGTTCACTACCGGAGCCCTCGGACCCCCCTCTAGTTGAGCCCCGCCTGCATTCGGACTCACACATTTACCCCCTCTCCCACAACTCGGGTTTTTAACAAGTACCAAAACCGTGATAATGTCAGAATTGTTGATGAGCGACTTATGATCTCGGAGCTGGACTAGAAGCGTGAAGCTTAGTCTCAGCTAATATGCATGAAGAACTGAGGGGAAAGAAATGGATTCAAAATGAATGAATATATCCGTGGCCTGGCACGGGTTAGTCCAAAATGATATTAAAGCGGTGTTGTGACTAAGTAGTCACGCTAATGTGGGAATGTGGCTGTACAAAAACTCGTCCAGCCTCCCATAGCACACGGTTCCTCCAACAAGAATAACAAACAACACTAATTCTAGGTGCCATATCTCACTGTTTGTCTCGGACCCATAGCTGGATGGTTGCTGGGGCACAGGCATGCAATGCAGCGACCTGTTGGAGGAAGGGATCAAGTGATCTCCCAAACCATCAGGGAAGGGGTACCCCCCCCTGGCATAACGGGCGAGTAGTGTATGGATGCACGCTAGAAGTCCTGGGTTCGATACCAGGCTTGTCCATTTTATGTCATTTGTCCAGTCACGCTGGTTTATGTCATAAGAATTTGGAGCTCCGGATAAGTCCAGTAGTCGCACCGGATACAAATTTCCTCATGGTGGACAGCCACGGTACATCAATTTGGAGGCTAACACCCCAAATTGAGGGCGAGTGTTGGAGGAAGGGATCAAGTGATCTCCCAAACCATCAGGGAAGGGGTACCCCCCCCCTGGCATAACGGGCGAGTAGTGTATGGATGCACGCTAGAAGTCCTGGGTTCGATACCAGGCTTGTCCATTTTATGTCATTTGTCCAGTCACGCTGGTTTATGTCATAAGAATTTGGAGCTCCGGATAAGTCCAGTAGTCGCACCGGATACAAATTTCCTCACGACCAACAACCAGGTGGATGGCAGGCATGGCAATGTCTGCTACTCGTCTCCCCCTTTTCCTTTTTTCAGAAATAATCCATCATTGATTTGTACCCTTAAATTTTCCTTAAATCGGCCTTAAACCGGGACTTGTATTATATTGAGGATGTTGGGCATTATCAAACGATTTTGCATGAAAGATATCGCCACCCTGTACAGTACTGCAAAGTGTCAAGCCACCAAAAAATGATATGAATTTTTTATGTCCCAAATACATGCAGCCAATCTAGTGAATCCATGTTTGTACACTGTCCACAAACTAAAATTTGATGTGCTTGGCACTCACATTCACATAGGCAGAATTTGCCAACCCAGTTTACCATCCCCCAACTAAAAGCAACTGGGTCGAAAGCCAGAGCAGTTTCCACAATCGACATCCCACAGCCGGCACGTGGATGAATATCCAAGGGTTCATTGAATAAATCATTACAATAATATAATTGATACTTCCTGACACAAAGTAATATTGATATTTCTTCCATTTCTTCTCGACAGCCAAATTGCAACGCGATTTTCCTTCTCAAAATATTTGGTTCAAAATTCATGTTATTATTATGAATTCAAATCGTGTCGTACAATGAAAAAAAAAATCATCCCAGTCGGCAGAGGTGCCAGCAAAGGTGACAGGGCTGGGAGGTGTGATATGATGGGCAAAAAGAAGGCTGCCGTCATCAGACAGCAGCGCCAGAAAGTGGGAAAGGGAGGCGTGAAATGGAACGAGGGTTGTACGGTGTTCCAAATTCCCGAAGCACCTGTGTTGTTTGGGTACCGACTGTCAGTACCTTCCATTGTCCATGACTATACTACCCACCAATGCACCGGCATCAAGTGTGATGCAGGGAATCGTCCACGAAGCGCAAACCCTCCCTCAAGGCAGACCACTTTTTCTCTCTCTCTCCTGGCGATCTTATTTTCCCGCCCCCTGCCTTCCTTCTCTCCAAGTAGACCGAACGGGATTGGCCGCAACGGTTCATGAGAATGACGCTCTCGTGGCGCTTCCCAGCCCAGCCTAGCAGTCGCAGCTGGCCCAGCTTGGCATGCACGCGGTTAAGTGCCGATTGCTGGTCAGTGTCCCTCCATCACCCATGAGACAATGCGCACTTACCGATGTGCTGCACAATGCATGCCTGGCCACCAGTGACATCGACGAACGGCACGTGCCGCCCCCAGCCAACGTTCTCGCTTTTTTTTTTCTCAACCGGACTGAATGGTGTGAATGGGAAAACCCGCTCGGAGCCGACGTTCGAGTTCCAGCTGGACGCTCGTGATTTAGGACGGTTTAACATTCAACAGATAAATCGGTCAAAACAACAGTACTTATACTTATCACATGAAGAAAAAATCGTGTTTCATAGTACGGAAGGTCTCGTTCTTCCGTTCGCCACCACCAACAGAAACTCAAACATCATTCCATCGACGCCCTGAAGTATCCCAGCTCTAATTTTGGACTATGATTAAAGAACCGAAGACCCTTCGCTGTATTCAATAGCCACGGGGGTATGAGTCCTGTATGCATGTCCTGAAGTCACTCGCTTTCGTGTGAGGGTCAATCTTGGATTCAACTCCCCAATGCTACTCGTGTACTTCAAGCATGGTGAAATATTATATCGCTTTGAACTAGAAGTTCCCTACCTTATTGAAAATTGGGGGAAGGCCCATTATGGTAATGGTAGTTGGCACAGTGCGCACTGCATCGTTATCCACGGTTGGAGGCAGCTATGCAACACTGCGGCCATTGTTGGGTGGATGGCAGGACATACATTATTGACCGCAGCAACGCAGATCCAAGTACTGCATTCTGCAGAATGATAATTATCTACGTTACGTGATGTGGATGCATGTCATCAATTAGTCCAACCAACCCGTTACGCACAACGCCGAGGGGCAAAATAATTCATAAAACATCGTGACCTGAGTCGACCAATCATCAGGGGTGCACTGTTCGTAACCCTGTATCTGACTGCATGTTCCGTTTTCGAATTCTTGGTCAGGGACTTCCTTCCATGAAGTACCCCTGATCTCAACAACCAGATCGCAAACAGGCAACTGCATGTATTTTTCATTATATTGAGTCTTGCTGTGCTTGGCCAAGGCTGCGGCAGCTGTGCAATTGTTTGCTGAAAAATCAATGCTCATTAAGAGCAAAACTTTTACTTGGCGTTTTGGCTCACTGGTGGATGCATTGAACGCAACCCCTACAGGAAGGCCCCCGGTGCCGCCAAGTGGGGCCCACTGAACCTTGGTAACGAGGAAATCAGCTGCGGCGATGGGGAGCAAAGTGATTGGGGCGAAGAGATTCCAGAATCGCATTGTGTTTACTGTTGCGGGCAGGCAGCGTGCGGAGCTTTGGTAAGTATGTGGGTCTTGTCAGCGTTAGGCAGAGGTGCTGACCTCAGTCTTGGGCGCATGCGACAAGGAGGGAGGACAAGCACAGTCTCAGGAGGCTATATAGGCAATTCCAGTATCCTTGAAAGTAATATTCCCTGGCAAAACTCAATATCACGGACGCACATATGCATTATTGCAATCACAACAAACGGTCCGAGCGCGCGTTTTTTTGGGGACCAAAATACTAATCTGCAACCCAAGTGCAATTCCCTCCGGTCATGCTTTCATCACCCAACTCCAAATCCCAGGAAATCCTGACCGGTGCTACGCGGTGTGATAATAATTGATGATAGGAAGAAACTTCCACCTTTCACTAGATGCCGCCGCAATGGATATGAGCTTCGGCTGTTTCCTTGCAGTCTTGCTAGCCATACATAGGATGGTGTCAGCTGATTCAATTTCTGCTTGTTCATTCGAGGGATAAAGGGAATGATGGATGGGGGGCAGGTGGACCGCAATCACATCGAAAGCCCCAATTAACGGTTGCCTGTTGACAGGTCAAGGTCATCCAGTTCACAGATTAAGTGTCCAAGTATGTGCATCTATTACCTGTGCAGTTACCTGACAGTAGTCGCTGCATTTTGAGGCCAAATATTCGAGGTGATTTGTCTCGGTGCCAGATGTTCTGGTGGGTGTGACCTTGATGTATTGAATTGTTGTGAAGGCCTGGTACCGAGGCTACAAGGTGATGTCAAATCTTGGATACAAGACTTCGGCAGTATCCATGTTAAATCCGAGTTGTGTCCCACCTATGGCTCCTAGCTGATCGGATCAAATCGGATCCGGATCAGAATCTGCGGATATTAGAGGTGTGAAACAAAATCCGTATCCGGCGGTTAGAAATCCGCGGATTGTAAATAAAATGTTCCGAAATTGCATTTAGTCAGAATGTCCTTGACGAGAGCTTTCTAACAATACCAAATCTGTCCATATTGGTGGAGAACTGATGGAAATATGGGAAAAATGGTGGAAAACTTGGAGGTCAAATGCCTAATTTGGAAATATCGGGCCTGGGTGGTCAAATAAGACTTGGAAAAATATAGGAGGGGTATCTAGGATAGTTGGCGACAATACATCCGCGGATAATCGGCCGATCTACGGATTAGAAACTGCGGATATTATCCACTGAAAATCCAAAACCGGATCCGTGAATTTTCGGATGCGGTTGCGGATATCCACAGATCATCCGATCCGCTAGGAGCCCTAGTCCCACCTACTGCTTGTGGCTTATGGTATCTCAGGGTTACCATCTAATCTACCTTAGATAGATTTCAAGAGGACAGGATTGTGGAAAGTCTAATGTGGTTGAGTGGAGGTCCATAGGAGGTCTGGAGTTAGAGAGGCAAGATACAAATATTAATATCAGGATAAGGTGAGCAGGAGGGGTACCAGAGATCTCTCAATCCTCCCAGATTGGATGAGATGCCAGGGCCTGGTGACAGCCCTGACAACTCAGTTGAACTCACTGACATTTATGGCAACCAGTCACCAATGCATACTCCAGATTGTCAAGCAATCAGCATGGTGAAATAATGATGATGCTTTGAAGCATTGACCAATGGTTGAGTTGTCTGGAGGACCAAGTGGTTCACCATGACAAGTCTAGAGATGAACTGCAGGCTAGCGTCTTTCACCCTAGCCCTGTGTCAGCTGAGCATTAAATTCCTTTGACCCCCCTCAGATTGAGGTGACTAGTGTGCCTCCACTTGTACCAGTCAGGGTACAAGACTGTGAACTCACCTGGCAGCAAAGCTTGCTGGAGGATGAAGTCTCTGTTGACAAAGACTTTGTTGCCGCATCTTGAAAGATGTGGGAAAATACCCTGCAAACAGACTGCTCTCAACAAAGAGAACGCTGATGGCTCACATAAAAATAGCAGGCATAAAAGCCTACATGCTATTTGACAGTGGAGCCAAAACGGACGCTATATCACCGGACTTCGTCCGTGCAGTCCATATCCCAATTCTTCAATTGGAGAACCCAGTTGTCCTTCAAATGGGGATGAAAGGAACAAGATCACAGATCCTGTTTGGAACAAACATGGACGTTGAAATCAATGGCCATGTAGAAAAACACTACTTCGATGTAATTAACATCGATAGATACGATGCCATATTTGGCGCCCCCTGGTCAAACAAAAACCAGGTAAGCTTAGACTTCTGGTCCCACAAAGTGAGAACAGTGAACAAGGGCAACATAGATACCCTTGGAGTCAGCGAAGACCGTGTGACAAGATCACATGGATGGAAAACTCGAGCAAAAGCTCAAAAACAACCAAAAAAGAAGCCCCCCTGACAGGGAGGTGGGATTGAAACACACCTCAGGGTAATTGAAAGAAAGTACCCTGAAGGTTGGCCCAATCCTAGTCCGGAAGGACTAGAACTTCCAGACATACCACATCTGGAATGTTACAAAAATGGGGCCGGAGACGCCCATTTTTGTCCGTTCTTGGCACAGGAAAGTGGAAAAGGGTAGAAGTTGAGCTCATATGATTTTACAATAGATATGGCAGGTGTTGTTATAGATGTTTTCACAGAGGCATTACTCTCGGGTTTTTGGTTGATTATTGATTGGATGAACTATATTACTATATAAATCACGTGATACAGAACCCATAAGAGTCTAAAATGGAAATTCCCATTTCCATAACATGGAAGGTCTCTCCATGAACAACCCCGAGTTCAAAATACTCAGGGGGTGGTGGAGAGAGAAATTCGAAACTGTGATGGTGCCAGCGCCATTAGAAATGCCTCCCTTGAGGGAGGTCAACCATTGAATCCCATTAAAGGATCCAAACAAAAAATTTCAGGAAAACACCCCAAGATGTCCTGCAGCACTGCAGGAAGCACTAGCAACCAAAATAGATCGCTATGTAAAAGCAGGATGGTGGTATCCCACAAACAGCAAGCGAGCATGCCTGCTACTGTGTATCCGCAAAGCAGATGGATCTTTGTGCACAGTAATAGACGTGAGGAACCATAACTCAAACACGATCCTTGACATCACACCAATGCCAGACATGCGACTGATCCAAGAATCAGTCGCCAGAGCAACATACCGATCCAAGATCGATATGTTGGATGCGTATGAACAAATACGTGTGGATCCAGATGACGTCCATAGGACAACATTCTCTACACCCCATGGGACGTACAACTCAAACACGATGCAGCAAGGAGACTGCAACGCTCCCTGTACTTTCCAGCACGCGTTGACCTGGGAACTACAAGGAGAAGTAGGCAGATGCCTACACATCTGGTTCGATGATATATTCACCAGCACAAGCTTGGTGGAGAACCACAATAAAGCACTATTGTGGTTGTTCACTCGCCTCAAGGGGGCGAAGTTCTACATAAGCCGGAAAAAATTCCAGCCATTTGCTCCAATCCTAGACATTCTAGGAAGCCACATGGACAAACAAGGCATCCAGACTCAAGCGGATAAAATGGAAAAAATCTGCAACTGGCGAGAGCAAGTAGACCACACAGGAGTCCTAAGATTCCTGGGAATGGTAGAATATCTATCGATATTCATGCCAAATGTCAGTGGCTACACAGGGCCACTGCAAACAATCTGCTCAAACAAGCAGACATTCAGGTGGACACCACTCCACCAGAAATGCTTTGATGAGATCAAACGTCTAGCATGCAGGGCTCCAATCCTGAAGCCTGTCCAGTGGAATCCACCGGAAAGCCTCTCAGAAGAAGAGAGGAGCAAACTCCATGTCTGGGTCATAACAGATGCATGCCCAGTGGGCATGGGCACACTAATTGGACAAGGCAAAAAGTGGCAGACTTGCCGCCCAGCTGCATTCATGTCCAAAAAGTTCACCGACACACAACATAGGTACTTCGCCTACGAGCTCGAGGCACTGGGCATCCTTGAAGCACTCATGAGGTGGCAAGATGATCTCATGGGAGGCCATGAATTCACAGTAATCACGGACCACAAAGCTTTGGAATATTTCAAAGCGAAAAACCACAACTCAGGTAGACACCTGAGATGGCAAGCCTTCTTCACAAGCTTCAATTGCGAGATAAAATACGTGGAAGGCCACAAGAACAAAGTGGCAGACGCACTTTCACAGTACTATGACTCGTCAACTGACGAGGATCTGCATTTCAACAACTACATGTTGGCAGACATCCATCTGGACAAAAATGCAGAAGATACCATCCCCGACAGAATCGAGGAATATGAAGAACTGCTGCTAAGCAGTACCCTGAGTAAAAACTCAGAGAAAAAGAGACTCACAGCAATATGTGCGAGAAATACCCTAGAGGAAACTCTAGGGGGGAGTGCCCAAAACCTGGAAGAAATCATAACTCCAGAAGAGAACCTTCGAAAACAATTCAAAGGAAAAGACCTCATTGAGGCAATAAAACCTGGATACTCTCAAAGCCAGATCCACTGGGAAATCCTAGAGAACCCAGGGAATTTCAAAAATTTCTCCATAAAAGATGGGCTGATACCGACTTGGAGAAGGAGGAACAACCCAAATAGTAGTCCTGAAAGGGAATTATGAAAGGAAGTCCATTTGAGGAATAATCCTCGAAAACATCCATGAAACACTTGGACACTTAGGATCCAAGAAAACAGTGGAAACCCTCCGTCGATACTTCTGGTGGAAGTCGATGAGGAAGGACACCCACAAGTTCTGCAGGCCTTGCGGAACTTGTCAAACAACAAAGAAAAGCACCAGGAGAAATCCCAGACTGCTTCACCCACTCCCGACCCTGGAAACACCATGGTCATCAATAGCCATGGACTTCACAGGTCCATCCCAACAAGCTTGGGATATGATTACCTCTGGGTAATCATCTGCAGGTTGATGTCCAATGTCCACCTAATTCCAATAAAAACAACAATGAATGCATTAGAACTAGCATTTGTATTCCTTCGTGAAGTTGTAAGACTTCATGGTCTACCACACTCGATCATATCAGATCGAGACTCGAAATTCACAAGTGCATTCCACCCACAAGGTGACGGCCAAGCGGAAAGAATGATACAAAACATAGTACAGATA